TGTGGACCGGAAACAAATAAGTATCGACAGGAGTTGTTTGTATTGGTGACATACACTAATGACTATATTGAAACAAAACTTTCCCGAAGTTTTTTTCATATAGAGTAGGTCAAACTAGTCTCTGGGTTTTCACTATGTTTGTAGAAGCTGCGTCACTTCCGGGGTCGGACATTGCAACGCAGAGCTAAACCTATTAGCTTGGTGGCTAGACTCTAGCTAAGTCACTTCCGTTTGTACCAAACACATGAAATTTGGCAACGTTTTGTATTACAGAAATGGTGTCTGTAACCCGATGTGCATGACGTCACTTGACGGGTTTACACACCCGGATGTGGGTTCTGTGGACTGTGATATTCCGAAGCGAAAAGACGATGTACGGAACGTGAAGTTATATTTCAAAACTCAATTCCTTTCAAGATTCTTTGATCGTCTTGAAAATATGGAATGGAATTTTATAGATTGTTACCTGTATCCATTCACTATTGCATAGTGAGCTAAATTAAAATAAATGTTCTTCGGTTAAACACATAGTCTGTGTATGGTCTTATTAAGTGTGTAATGGTGAAGTTTTGAACTCAGGAAGATTGTTTAAAGATGACCATTTAAAGACAGATCCCTGCTCGTTTTCAGCAATATTACAATATATATTCCAAGTACATATTATTTTATTATTTAACCCCCTTTTTATTTTCATTATCTACACATACAAGGCGAATGCTTTTAAAATGAACATTTTTATCTGATTTTATCTTCGCTTCTCACATGTTTGTTTAAAAAATAAAATAGATAAATAAATCCCCATGGCCCTATATGACCACAGCCGTCGATGGGCCGTTAAACCCAAACAAACAAACAAACAAACTGTAAAGAAGTTTCGGACTTTACGAAAATACAATTGATGAAATAAATTGTTTGTAAAAACTCTGGATACAAAAAAACTCTATTCCTCTAAACTCTAAATAGTAACTCTATTTAGTAGTACTTTTGTGTGGCTGTTTTGATGAAATAAACAGCTAAATGGAAAGATATATAGATAATGATACAGGAGAAATACTTTCAAAAAATTTAATCGGAATAGTTTAAACATTTATTATTGTTTTAAGTCGGATGGTCGGGTGGTGCAGTGGATAATGTACTCGCCTTTCGCCAAGACGGCAGGGGTTAAATTCCCCGATCCGAAGTGTATGGGGTCACCTTCCCGGTCACGTGGGTTTTCTCCGGGTACTCCGGTTTCCTCCCACATCACATTAAGAACCCTGCGCACTAACATCCGAGCCAACAGGAGTGATTAATATATGTTGATATAACATGTTTAATTACTGATGTAAAGTAAATAAAGTTTAGATTTTATATTATTTGATGTATTGAGTTAAACATCGGCAGAACACGTATTTAACGACATAAATACGGGGATAGTACCTGTAGGATCTGGCATAAGTGATTTATTTCTAAAATAAATCAGGCGAATTCTGTAAATTTACAAAAATCGGTTCGAAGCGTTGCTCTGAACAGGAAGTATATGTGAGTGATATTTTAGTAGACCTTTAGTTATGCTTTGAAGGTTTTTTTCGGATGACACTTCTTTTTATAAAAGTAATAATCCCAAAGTACACCAGAAATAGTATCACCAATTATCTCTCTAAACTTTGGGTTACGGCCTACACATTGTTAGTTAAGTAACCTCGTACCTCTGTTGATAACGTGAACATACATTGGAACCTCTGTCCCGGTATAAATATAACATTGATAAATAATTCCTGAAAGAAAAACCATATCTTCTCTAAAAGAAAAAAATAAAGAATAATTAAACAAAAGGGGAATCAACGACAATGCCATATTGGTAAAAATTGGCAACGAAGCCACACGCGGTTCGATCCTTGAACCTTCCGATCCAGAGACGGCCGGGCGCTTTTACCAATTCAACTAGCTGGCCAACCGTAGTTCACTGGCCCAGTCGCAGTTCAGGTTTTTTTTCTAAAACGAAAATTAAGGGGTGATTACTGGACTTACGACAAGAGGTCCAATGGGCCTGCATCGCTTACCTGGTATTAATCTCACAATTGTAACCTTAAAAGTGGAAAAATAAAATGGTTTATTGAGAAGATTATTTTTAAAGATTTTTGCACTATGGACCAGATGTGACCATGAAAGTGTGTCAAGGTCATTCACATCAACAAGCAATCACCCTGTATGCTTTAGTTATTCAGAAAAAGTCGTTTAAAGATTTCAACATATTTGACCCCTGTGACCTTGAATATGGGAAAAGGTCATTCATTTAAGCAAACGTCGTAGCCCTTCAAGCCAACATCCTTCTGGCCAAATATCATAACTCTGGACCTTTTGGTAATATTGGAGAAGTCATCTAAAGGTTTTTAAGACAATTGACATATGTGACCTTGAATATGGGCAAAAGATCATTTGTTTGAACAAACTTGGAATCCCTTCATGCAACATCCTTCTGACCAAATATCATCACCCTGGACCTTTTGGTTTTACAGCAGAAATTGTTTAAAGGTTTTCAAGACAAATCAACCCTGTGACCTTGAATATGGACGAAGGTCATTCATTTGAACAAACTTGGCAGCCCTTCATCCCCACATGCTTCTTGTGAAATATCATCACCCTGGAGCGTTTGGTTATTCAGAAGAAGTTGTTTAAATATTTCAACATATTTGACCCCTGTGACCTTAAATATTGGCAAAGGTCATTCATTTTAACAAACTTGGTAGTGCTTCATCCAGGCATGTTATCGGCCATATGTCATCATTCTGGGCCTTCTAGTTAATCAGAAGTTGTTAAAAGATTTTAACATATTTGACCCCTGTGACATTGAAAATGTGCAAAGGTCATTTGTTTGAACAACTTGGTAGCCCTTCATCCCAGCATGCTACTGGCAAAATTTCATTACCCTGAAGCTTTTGGTTATTCAAAAGAAGTTGTTTAAATATTTCAACATATTTGACCCCTGTTATCTTGAATATGGGTCAATAATAATAATAATAATAATAATAATATGCAGCATTTATATAGCGTCCTATATAATTCGTAAAATTACTCTAAGGCGCTTTACAACATATGGATAATAGTAATGGTTATAATTGTGAAAACAAACAACAAAGGCTTGCAATCACTTTCATACATTTAACAAGCAATGTGCACATAATTGAACAAATAAAAGGGTGGTATTTACATGACGTCTTTGCAAAGATTCTAAAATGCAGACGTGAAGAGGTGAGTTTTTATGTCCCTCTTGAACTTGGCCAGAGTATTCGACTTCCTAATAGCAGATGGTAAGCTATTCCACAACGTAGCCGAAACCCTCCCAAAGCATCTGTTTCCGTAGGTCACAGTACGAGATTTTGGGACACACAACAAAGACTCTGACTCCGACCGCAGTGATCTTGACGACTGATACAGGGTAACAAGTTCCTGTAACGCTTGATTCGTTTGAACAAACACTTGGTAGCCCTTTATTCCAGCATGTTACTGGCCAATATATCATCTTCCTGGGCATTTTGGTAATTCAGAAGAAATTGTTTAAAACATATTTGACCCCCCCCCCCCTAAAACGTTCTACAGATCACACATTATCCAGAGTTCCAGTTTAAGGGATTTCGTAGTGTATCTAGTGCCCGGACACGCAGGGATCAACTGTACACATTTACCAAAGTGTCCGGATTTAAAACGTGTCGTTGTACACATTAAGCGTTGTGTCCGTAATAACAAGGTTCAACTATACACATTAAATAGTGTCCGGACTAACAAGGTTCCGCTGTACACATAAACCAGTGTGTCCGGACTAACAAGGTGACACTGTACACATTGAAGAGTATCCGGACTAACAAGGTTCCGCTGTACACATAAACAGTGTTTCCGGACTAACAAGGTGACAGTGTACACATTAACTAGTGTCTGGATTAACAGGACGCCATTTTACACATTAACCATTGTATCCGGAATAACAAGATTCCACTGTAAACAGTTCACTAAAGAGGTTGCATTTAACACACTAGGCAGTGTCCGGACTAAAGAGGTTCTAAACTTGTAACTCGTTAACATTAAGCTGGTTTAACGTACAATATTATAATGAAAGGGGGATACTTTCTTACTTTTCGTGTTGTATTCGATAATAATATATGTAGCACTATAAAGTCGGCATCAGATTCGTGCTATCACAAGGAGGCGAGCACACCAACATACCCTGTCTCCTGCATACACACACGCAAGCACGCATACACTACACACATAGAGGCACGTCCTTACATGACCTTAGCTGTTAATAGGACGTTAAACAAAATTAAACCAAACTAATAATATATTTCAATATAATATGCTGTATGAATATATGTATAATATTATAGTGTTTTTCATATCATTGTACTGTACTATTATGGTGTATATGGATGGTATATCATCGTATATCGCTTTTTTATTATATTACATGTTTATATTGGTTCAAAGAAGTAATACAAACGGTAACATCCCATATAACACTGGGTCCAACCGTATAGGAATTACAATGTAATGAAAATTGGCATTTATGGCAAGGAAGCAATTCCTACAGTGTAGAGAATACGAGGTTATTTTTTTCACGCTTGAAAGCATTTTAAAAACTATAACACAGATCATAAAGTATTGTAACGACGTTCAACCAAACGTTAAAATATATGAACAGTAAAAATAAAACTCCATAATCTTGATAGAATTTTAAGGATATTGGTGACGTAAATAATATGTTAAATTAACGCTCAAATACGTGTATCCAATTCCTACAAAATTAAGTAACGGCTACCGTGGTACAAATGTAACGCCCAAGGAAAGTATAACCGGAAGTGAGTGTTCTCTAAGACCACGTGGGAAATCCTTTCACCTTTCATCACAATCTTATCGCTAGGCATTAACAAAGTACCAAAGTTCTTATCAAAGACAATAATCTCTGGGTATGAAATGCCACACCTGTCAACGGCTAAAGAAAGGGGACGTAAGTCGGTATTAATCGCAGTGCCCCAGGGCGCAACAGAGATCGTTAGAAGTGATGTGGAGGCCCCATAAGTCATTACGTGCCAGTGGTTTGACAGATCGGCCGTCAACTTCCGTATAGACTGGACGTGTATACCTGTACGCATGCCACGTGTCCTGGGACGGCAGATATAGGACCGGTCCGTTACGATTTTGGAAGAGTCCTGGGAAAACAACAGATCGAACGGAAAGTCCCAGAGATAAGACAGCCTAGAACAGACGATACGACTTTGGGAAGTAAAGCTATCGGAATTATATCTTCTGTAGTGTAACGGTAATAACTTTCAAAAAAAAATATGGCTAAATCAATATTGTGTAAGAAAATGATTCTTTGTGTGGTAGGGACTATGGCTTTAGTTGCCATGGTTACTGCTAGTGACATGAACGTTAAGGGTGACGTACCGGATGTGCACGTGCTTGTGACGAGAGATTCAGATAAATGCACGAGAAAAGCAGCCAAGCACGACATTCTAGTACTCCATTATGAAGGATTCTTCCCTAACGGTACCAAGTTCGATTCCAGGTAAGTCGAATGTTCAACGTCTTTATCGAAATAGGGCTTTTTCCCCTTTTTATTTTTTAATCAACATTAAAGGTTGATTTTTTTGTTATAGAATGAAAAATAGATGAAAAAAGCAAATAATTTTTACAACGTATCTAAATTGTGAAGATACCGTATCATGCACACGAAACAAGAATAATCTCAAAAGCTAAATTATCGGAATCTATGTGATATTTCTTATCCTTAGATTCTAGAATATAGAAAAGATGATCAAATATTTAACTTTTCTTTAATCAAACGCCTTGAAAGCCCTGTAATCAAAAATATAAATATTTCGGATACGATATGAAACTTTCAGAATTTAATAATTTCGTCAATAGATATAGCAGATCGTGATCAGGTTGTCAGTTCCACGTTAAGTATCATATTGTAATATCCCAGGTGTATTTTTCTTTTGTCATTTCTTTGTCTTGGGAAAAAATATAGCATCTTATATGTTATCTTCGAAATAAATAGAGAACATGTGTTCACGGAGAACGGAATCGGGAACCGTCGGAACCTTCCGTCTTGTTTACGAAAAGTGCCGACGGTTCCCGATTGTTAGAACTTGGATTACGAATATGCTTATTTATATATCTGTAAAATGGTAGGACAGCACAACAATCCAAGCGCCGGTGATTATGAAAATAACCGAAGACGGCAATATAAAGTAAATTGTTATTTTCGTTAATTTTATTTTCGTCCTTCTGCGTTCTATTGGCTCGTTTCAAAACGCACGTAACCGGAAATGCGTACCAAAGTTCTTTATCAAACTTCAAATTGATCCTAAATAAAATTGTTACAAATACTATCGTTTAATATTTGAAATTAAAAAAAAAAAAAACAACTAAAAGTAAAACACCAATACCTAATAGATCTAAGTTAATACGAACAAAGTGCGTTAAGATGTTACGTCATCAGATACAATGTCGCCCGATAATGCTTGACACCAAGGTTACAGAGAAATGTGTACGTCTTGTACCGCATGGGCCAGGCGCATTGTTAAATTGGTTGTACGGTATCTCACAATAATATGATTGACTAACGTGTGTCTCATCCTTGCTCCCCTTTCTTAGATTTGTTTTAACGGGTTGGGATTTAAGGGAGGAGACGCAGGGACCCGAATCCTCCTTCCGTAACGAGCGTTATACTATGTCATGTATAATGAAGATTTGTGCAAAAAACACCCTTTGGAAATAGCGGGCATTAACAGTTTATTGTAAACAAGGATAAAGGGGGTGGGGGGGGGGGTAGAGATTTTGTTTTACCATTTTACCTAATCCTTCCATGATCCTGGCTGCAAAAGGGGTCGGAGTGGGAAGTGGCTGTTGCTTAGAATTCGACAGCTTTTGGGTCCTGACTGGAGTCATATTTCAATTTGCCCCACCCCTTAGTCTAAAATGACTCTCATCTAAAAATATTGACGGGGCGGGACGCCCCTTTTATATATTTTTTTTTGCAACGAGATAGGCATTATTTCGGACTTCTGCCCCCTGTTGTTCCATGTTAAAGCCATGCTTTCAATATATAACAGATTATGTCCACCGTTCCATATCTTTCCGATGAAAGATAAGAAACAACAATCTATCATTTGTCGCCAGAAGGCGCCCTCTAGCAATGATTTGCCCCGAGTCATTGTGTGTGGAATAAGATGGTTTTCTTCGAGACGTTTGTATATATATATATATATATATATATATATATATCTGGCAGGTACATGAAGAGTAACATGAAAACTGAAGTACATACGCTACATTTATTGCTGTATATTTCTTCAACGAGCACGCGCTGTACACAAGTATGCACTTTTCGCCGGTGTTAAAACCAAGGAAACATTTATTCGCAGATATTGCCGTCCAGTTTGAGTATAGGTAGGAACAATACTTCACAGGTAATTTTACAATGAAACATGCCCATTTAAAGCGGACCCTTAAGGACCCACGTGATTAAATGGACTGTCTCACGGACGACGTTCTGGTCGATTTTTTACGAAGTAAAATGAAGAATCAAATCATGAAAAAACCCAGTCGCAACTGGCTTAGTTAAATCACGGATTTATATTAGAAATCCCTGTGATCTAAGTCCGTGGTTAAATGATGAACCCACTTACAAATTCAACACTTTCAGTTCACAGGGACCTGATCATTCGGTCCTAAATTGAGGTGTTCGGAGTAATTTTACACGTTTCAGGCCAGCTAATCACGTCATATGACATCCAACAGGAGACCGTCGGCACTTTCCGAGTCTTTCTCGATTACGGAGAGTGCCGACAGTTCCCGATTGCAAGGGCGCCACGGATGGTGCAGGAAACGATAAACCTTCTGGTTCATTGTGGCTTTCGTTTCTTCTTTTTTAAACTTCCGTTTCAACTTTGACCTGTGTGCAACTTGAGACAATGTGGTATATTTTGTTCGAGATCTGTTTAGTTTTAACATAATTTATTGTGATTGTGAAATATATATGTACAATAAGATTGGTGTTAGTGTATGTTTTTAATCGACACACGACAATACCGGCGGTATACAAGCACAGTGGATGAAATGTCAATCTCGTCAGATCCACTCTCCGTACTGACATTAATTACCTGACAATCACAGACGGAAATAATCGTGCTGGGCATTGTTAGCTTGACGTTTCTTTTAGAAAATTTTACAGAAGTCTTATCTGTTATCCCCTACTATTGGTCCTCAGTAAATCTGAAGTGAAACACGTCCTTGGTTACACCATTTTTTCAATATTCCCTCGTTATCGCATCAAAATATATTTTTTTATAATTGTTTTATCATATTTCTTTTTAAAATCTTAAACTCTTGATTCTTATCTTGTTTTGTTTTGAGACGTTCGACAGACAAATCTTTTGGGCACGGCCTCCCAGTGATGATCTCCTCATAATTAGCTTGAATGTATAATATTTACTAATAAGAAGGACACAGGTATTGCCGAACACATACTATATGAAGTCATTAAAGATACACTCTGGGTTCCTTACTCAAACAGTTGTCCTACTATCACGCCAGCACCAATCTGGTTGTCTCTCTATCCAGCCAGCACCAATCTAGTTGTCTCTCTATCCAGCAACCACTAATCTGGTTGTCTCTCTATCCAGCAACCACTAATCTAGTTGTCTCTCTATCCAGCCAGCACCAATCTAGTTGTCTCTCTATCCAGCAACCACTAATCTAGTTGTCCCTCTATCCAGCAACCACTAATCTGGTTGTCTCTCTATCCAACCACCACTAATCTAGTTGTCTCTCTATCCAACCACCACTAATCTAGTTGTCTCTCTATCCAGCCACCACTAATCTAGTTGTCTCTCTATCCAGCCAACACTAATATGGTTGTTTATATTTACAGGATTCCTGTCAATAAAACAACAGACTTGTGTTGTTGTTTACATTTTACAGGATTATTTTCTTAAAATCTTAAGATTTATCTGTTAGGAGAGGAAATGTATTGATACATTTCTGTCTTTTTTTAAATTTTGAACATAAATATAAATCCAACTCTAGCCGAGTCCAACTCTAGCTAAATCTGAAATAAGCCAAATCGGAGTCAGGATCAAAGTCTAGTGCCTGTTATAAATGTTATAAATGTATCCTATGTGGTTATCAACACGACAGTGCTAAGCAATATTAATTCCGAGTCATTGTCAATTTTGACATTTGACCTTATCTATTTAATTATGGTCAGAAAATGTCAGTAACATATAACTGTATGTGGAGAGCATTTTCAGTAATTATTCATTAACCCTTTCACCCCTATGTAACTTCCATAAATCGGAAAAAAATGAGGAAAACCTGTGTTGTTATATAGATCTATCCGACTGTAACAGACAGGAGTTAAACAATTACACTTACTGAAGCATTTTCACTAAATGATCAATCTATAATTTTCATTTCTGATTTCTTTTTTGTAACCTAGTTTTTTTTATTTACCGAACGTCAATTGTTTTGTCCACAGTATCGAGCGACCTGGGGCCAATCCTTTCCAGTTCCAACTCGGAATAGGTCAGGTTATTCAGGGCTGGGAAAGAGGACTACTGGACATGTGTATGGGAGAAAAGCGTAAGCTTACAGTCCCCGCCTCACTAGCGTACGGAGAGCAGGGTTCAGGTGAGTTATGTCCCTTTGTTAATGCAATATGCTAATATGATTATAAACCAAACAGGGCTGAAGTGAATTTTGTTTCTTTGTTACTACCCTATATTTGTTCAGACGAGTCATGGCCCTTTGTTACTACTCTATATTTGTTCAGACGAGTCATGGCCCTTTGTTGCTACTCTATATTTGTTCAGACGAGTCATGGCCCTTTGTGACTACTCTATATTTGTTCAGACGAGTCATGGCCCTTTGTGACTACTCTATATTTGTTCAGACGAGTCATGGCCATTTGTTACTACTCTATATTTGTTCAGACGAGTCATGGCCCTTTGTTACTATTTATTGTACATGTTGAGGTTCAGATGAATTATGACCCTTTGTAACTCTTCATTATACATGATGAGGTTCAGATGAGATAAGTCCCTTTGTTACTCTTCATTATACATGTTAAAGTTCAGATGATGATGAGTTATGTCCCTTTGTTACTCTTCAATATACATGTTAAAGTTCAGATGATGATGAGTTATGTCCCTTGGTTAGTTCTATCAGCCTTTATTATGTATTCCATCGCTACAGGATGATGACAAGTGAATAAATATCTCATGAAATCAAAAAAACTTTTCTTGAAAAAATATTCGCTTCGAGATAATACAAGCACTTTATCTTAAAGAAAAAAAAATCAAAGTTTAGAACACTAATGTCATTCAGTGTGAGGTGTTGATAATGTCATTTCTCTGCTTAATGCACATTTACCATTACTCTGTTTTCTAGGTGAGCTGATTCCGCCAAACACCGATCTGATATTTGACATTGACCTCATCCAAGTGCATGATGGACCTCAACCACCAAATGTCTTCAAGATGATCGACATTGACAGCGACAACCTACTGACGAGAGATGAGGTAAGCTCAAACGGACACCATAGAAAAAATGATATGACATTCGGAGAGGATTTCAGGACATTCAACATAGCAGAATTTTTCACCAAACATTTTTTTTTTTACTTTTCCAATATTTGCTTGCATATTTCCCTGCTTGAACATAAATCACTAAGAACTTCTTTTCATTACTTTCCAAATATCAAACATTTTTTATGATATTGTCTTATTTAAGGTGAAACATATACAGAAAAATTAAAGTAAATAAAGTAGTTTTTTAATAAATTAACAAAACACAACTTCTTGGGAGATTAACAATGAAGGAAAGCAACTCTTCATAAAATTTAGTGAAAATTTGCCAACATTGGAAAAGCTTCAAAGATTAGTTGAAAGAATAATTTGCTTGGTTTCTTTAGGTATTTAATAGAATTCAAAACTGCCAAAAACTGAATATATATGTCATGGTGTAAACAGTGTTAAATCCCGTCTGAAATATTTTTTTTGAGATATAGATGTTGTGAAAAATATTGTTCAAAAATTAAATCCTATTGCCACTTTCAAAGCTCAACAAAATAATGTATCTCATAGGATCAATCAAGGTGTGAAAAAAACAAAATAAATATCTTTGTCATCTCTTACAAACAGTAGGCTCTGTCTGGTGAGAAAAGCGAGAGGTATTATGACTCATTAATATGATTTCAAATTGTTTTTTTTAATAAAAGAGAGACCTGTTCTGTATGAACTTTATTTTTAACTGTACAACAGTTCAAAAGCAACATTTTGCATGTACCTTTGCTGGAAGTCAAAACCCTGGACTTCATTCACTGGTTCAGTGTTTTAAAAGAACATCCAGCTAGTTAATTATAAAAGACTAGAATTGTCACCACTGAAACACGTTACATTACTATATCACCTAACAGATCAAAAGATTACTTTCAGATAAAAGAATCGGGCAGTATTTATTATTTACCCGAGGACTCACGTTTTCAAATTCACTTGCTGAATTTCTAAAAAAAAACAAAAAAAAAACGCACGGTAGTCTAGTGGTATAAAAAACCCAATAATTTACTCCGCTTGTTCCAGTCTACTCAGCTGTAAATGAGTACGTGGTTAGGCAGTGCTAGAATTGTAGAATGCTAGCTGTGAGCGCCGAAATGGCAGCACCAGCTGTATGCTCCCACAGGGAGTTGAGAAAGATATTGGCTGGTTGCAAAGGCCCTATAACCATGGATAATAACTTGTGAATCGCTTTGAGATGACCAATTAACAAGGTTGTGATAAAGTGGTATATAAATTTTTTGTAGTGTTGAAATGTTCGTGCAGTCTCTCTAAAACCCATCATGATGTGGAAATTTTCTTAATGGCAATAGAAGTGAGAGCAATTCAACACTGCAAAAAAAACCCACACTTTTACAGTAGGTAAAGACTCATTTTGTGGAAAAAAAGTAGATAAAACACTTAGGAATGTTTAAACAAAACATTGTTTTTTCATCCAACAGCTGGCCATGTACCTTGCTCGTCAGTCTCAGATGCAGGGAGTGCCGATGGACCTGGCCAATGTTCAAAACCTTAAAGTCCTCAACAACATCTTCACAGTGGAAGATAAAGACAAGGATGGCCGAATTTCCCACGAAGAATTTACCGGTCCAAAGCATGAAGAACTCTGATAGTCTGTGCTTTACCGAAAGTTAAGACATTCAACTTGAGCAGAATGCTAGAGTAAAATGTTTTATAACATTATCAAGTGCAGACGCTTTTAGAATGGAGTTGAGAGTAAAGAGTTGTGTGCAGTAATAGACAAGTTATGTGAGGAATGTCTGAGGAATGTATGAAGGATGTGTATGGAATTGGTCCGAGATGTAAGGTCATTCCATGTTAATGTAAGAAGGGAGAAAGATTTTTTACGTCGGTGTAAGATCTCCTAGTTGCTTGATTTGTGTGGGTTTATGCAGAGAAAAATCACATAACTGTTCAACATCAGTACAACCTGGCGTCAACCGGGCTCCATGGCTTCACCAGTGTCTACGTTACGAGAGGATCGATGGCTTCAAGGTGGCGGCCACGATTGTAGGAAACAGAAAAATAAAAGACAAGGAGTTGATAGTGATATTCATCTATTTATTGCATAATACATGACGATGTCAACACAGGAGATGAGAATGTAACGAGATGTACATAAGACGAAAGGTGAGAGGTCATCCTGTGAGATGTATGAGACGAAAGGTGAGAGGTCATCCTGTGAGATGTATGAGACGAAAGGTGAGAGGTCATCCTGTGAGATGTATGAGACGAGAGGTCATAGGTGCAGAATGAGCATAAGTGTGTGATTGTAATCATGCTTAACAGAGACACATAATACAAAGCATTAAAATATAAACTAAAACACCCTTGATTGTTGTTTTTTGCCGCTAATATATAGTGTACAACACTCGGTATGGTTTACCTGGCCACTATAGCGTACAACACTGTGGGGCTCAAGTTTCGTGGTTTCCTGGAAAAACACCATTTTGTTGGTACATGAATTCATGGATTACAAGTACCAACTCATACAGAGAATAGCTTTATGTTAATCTTGTAATTACTTTGTGGACCTTTGAATTTTTTGATAACGAGTACCCACTCATACGGATAAAAGCTTTATATCTAACTTGTAATTACTTTGTGGACCTATGAATTTGTGGATTACGAGAACCCACTCATACGGATAAAAGCTTTATATCTAACTTGTAATTACTTTGTGGACCTATGAATTTTTTGATAACGAGTCCCCACTCATACGGATAAACGCTTTATATCTAACTTGTAATTACTTTGTGGATCTATGATTTTTTTGATAACGAGTACCCACTCATACAGATAAAAGCTTTATATCTAACTTGTAATGACTTTGTGGACCTATGAATTTTTTGATAACGAGTCCCCACTCATACGGATAAACGCTTTATATCTAACTTGTAATTACTTTGTGGATCTATGATTTTTTTGATAACGAGTACCCACTCATACGGATAAACGCTTTATATCAAACTTTGTGGAAGTATTCATGAACTTGTGGATGAAGGGTACCCACGAAATCAACGAAATTTAAAACCCCACACAAATGAGTGATTTAACACTATTTCAATATTTAATATATTCAAATTTTGAACTTTACAACAACTAAATTTAATGGAAAACATCTGTAAAAAGGGACCTAAACAAATATTTCGTAAATGGTCACACAAAATGGGAATAATATATATTATCAAACTTGATGGTAGCCTAAATATCTATTGTGAACAGTAATTTAGCTACTTGATTGATGTCAGATTAACAACACTATACCACCAGTTCTTGGTTGCATTCAGGGCTGAAAGTCAAGTAACAGAGTGCTATGGAACCTTTTCTGATTTTCTGATTGGCTAATAGCACTCTGCCCCTGAGTCTAAATCTTGCATAAGCGAAACTTATTCCATTAACTTGTATACTAGTATTGGTTCTGAATATCCCCCCCCCCCCCCCCCCCAATGATTTAATCATGCAGATATCTATAACACCAATCACAGGTAAAATGTGTAGAACATGGTACAATGACTACACTGAGGGTGTTTTCAAAATATGACGTTTTATAATGAGTGCGGAAATGAAACATCATTTTGTGATAAAAAAAACACCCAACAAAACAATACAACTTACAGATGTTTACATGAGCCTCATAATCTTAAATTTACCCAACATTCTCGACAATTATTGCGACTTGAATATATCGAAATATTTCACAAATTGCTTTTAAAAAAATGAAATCGAAATAAAATGTTAACCATGAATTATTATATGACCTGTACAACATCATACACAGACCTTACACATACATGTTATATACATCACAACTATTATTTACTTGCATAGAATATAAGGCAACAGTGGGAATTGTAATACCCCTCCCCCTACTTCCAACTCCATAACAACAAATGTTCTCAGACAAGGGCCGAGTTGTTTATTGTTTCTGCTTAATGATATTAATCTCTCACCCCTTATGTATGCTAAATACCAAGTAATATACAACTTCTATCTAGTAGATTTGGACGATTGTTGATTAAATTGAAAACTATTTTTTCCCCAAAACATTCCCAAAGGCAATATTCCTGTAGTTGTTCTTGATTTCAGAGTTTTTGCCATTTTGTCTTTGCCTGCAAGTGTGATGTTATTATCCCTTTCACTGAGTTTTTTATTATGTTCCGTCGAGTAGAACGAATGTTATTGCTGCCTCTCCCTTGAGAGATTGCAATAGCCTTCACATTGAACAGCGCGCTCTTTGGGACAAAACAACTCCAGAAACGGGGGCAAAGATCAGACTAGAGGTGATCACACCGTGGACATTATTGCTAGTACATCAGCATATATAACAACAGGTTTTGTATTTAGTTCAGTTCATCAGGTATGAAGGTTGCAAGATTTGCACTGTATACATGTATATGTTTTATAACTTATATTGAAATTTTAACATAATCACAAATGCTATATATAAATCATGCAATGTTGGATCTTACCGTACACATGATATTACAGAACTGCCAACCTTCGAGATTCAGTTGTAATCAGTACTCAGGGCACCAAACATTTAGCCATCGTTGGAGATCCAACAACCGATTTGCGGCCTTTTCGTTTAGGACATTGTTTTCAAATGATTTGTCACATCATTTTCCATCACCATGATGAAAAATAATGAACTCATACACGGTGCGTACATTTTTCCTTTTACAAACTCAACAAGGTCTGGGTTCTCCTTTAAAATACTCCTGTTTACACATCTGGACTAACAATTTCCATTCTTTTGGAGGAAATGTCTTCCAAATAGGCACATCAAAACTTTTCCACCATTTTTACTTCTACGAACGGAGCGTTCTCATTCAACTCAAAGCTTTGTTCCAGTGGATTTAGACCCTGATGAAAAGCATTTATTGTGCGATTTTGATTTATGATTACAATGATGAAAAACGGACTTTATTTTAGACCCTGAAATCATAATGATTACGCCTGAATTGTAAGAGCTGGCAGCTCTGCAGTTAAGTCTTTAGACAGTGCATTGGTAGATTCTCTATAACATAAAATGTACCAGAAATGGAAATACATGCGTACTACAACCTTGGAACACTATTTTGATTTGTCTTTGGCCATGGATCCTTCCCGTAAAATTTTGTCTAGATCTGTTAAGTAGTGTCTGAAATGTTAATTAATTACAGGTGAACACGTGACGACAGACAAAAAGCCGATCACAACAGGTCCAAAGATCTTATCTGACAGGATAAAATAAAACTGCCTCTAAATATTTTTTTTGTATCATTTATGAAAGTATAATCTTTTTTATATTTTTAAACATTTTTCAAAACAGTTGTAAATTTGAACTTTTAAGGGATGGACAACAGAACTAATGACAAACCAACATCTAATAATTAGGAGGGCAACATTTTTTATACTGTTACATGTATGTATTTATTGAAAGTTATGATGAATTTGACTCACAACAATTTTCCGAGCTGCCAACATTTGTAAATGCAATTTTATACACAGACTGATATATACATGAAAATCTATTGATAGATGTGTGTACAGCAACAACTACAAAACTTTGTTATCAAGATATTGCATCATTAACTTTCAAGGGGGTATAATTATACACAGACTGAGAAAACTGTATATGCCAACACTGGAAGATTACTCACTACCCACCTACCCAAACCTGGAGAAATGTTTTCACTCCATACCCCATCAAACTCCCCTCTCACCCAACAACAGAAGAATGTTCACTCCTTACCCCATCAAACTGCCCACTCACCCAACAACCGGGGAATGTTCACTCCATACCTAATCAAACTCCCCTCTCACCTAACAACGAGGGAATAATCACTCCCCATCCACCCAAACCCGGAGAAATGTTGACTTTCGCAGGAAAGGTCATACTGAGACATCACCTGCTTAGGATCTATTTCATATAGAAAACCACAGGAAACAATTTTGACATCTCAAGATATACAGGTTATATCAATATAGATACATTTCATTTGCATTACTTCTGTAGAAATACAAGTACATGTATCTGGAAATAGATGTTTTCTCTCGAAATAAACATCATCTAAGGTAAAATGGAATAAAACCTCTGGCATCTTTCAAATAGTTTTTTGTAACTAAAGAAGGATACGTTTTGCCATGAATGTTAACATCGGAGGAAAACTCGTACTCTTGTGCCATTATCAACATATACAGTTGACTTTGTTATTACGAACTTTAAAACCTATACCAAACCTTCCAATTATCAGATTTTCATCTGGGTTGACAACTTCAACAAAATCAGAACAGGCAGTGTTTCTAGAATCTTTCTAACTTCAATTTACCATACAAAATTATTCAGTTAATCGAAAAATATATCCTTAAGAATATTCTTACACAGTTTTTTGCAAAGATCTCCAACCTCTACCTGATGGTCCAGAAACGTGAAGTCTCAGGAGAGAAACACAAGTTTGACAAATAAATGCTTTAGAAATAATATCATAAAATTAACTCTCAAATAAAAACGTGTGGAATATTTTCTGCAGAAGTGATGACTTCGCTGCATGTAGAGGTTCTTCATTAAGTCAGTAGCATCTTTCACAACTATTAAGGACGAGATTTATACTGTCTGGAGATTGCAGGCTAATGTACATGTGTTCTTGGAAGCCATGTAGCCCATCACCGTGGCCTTACTGGAGTCAGGACAAAATGGGTCATTTTGACATAGGGACAATGTGACTCAACATTCCCTGGTCAGTTGATAGGGGATGCTGTGCTTCAAACTTGACTGTTCATTTTGACAGGATTACAGCAAGTTTGAAATTCCCTGGTCAGTTGATAGGGGATGCTGTGCTTCAAACTTGACTGGTCATTTTGACAGGAGTACAGCAAGTTTGAAATTCCCTGGTCAGTTGATAGGGGATGCTGTGCTTCAAACTTGACTGGTCATTTTGACAGGAGTACAGCAAGTTTGAAATTCAATGGTCAGTTTGATGGAGATAATGCAGATTTCACTTTGGCGTAAGAATATGTTGAACGAAGTCCAGGAATGTTCCACTTTCCATCTGATCTTCAGGAAGTCGTCGGGCCAAGGAACACTGGAAACAAAAAAGTCAACAAGGGTACAACAGGGTGTAACAAGGGTACCACAGGGTGTAACAATATACGCCCGTCTAATGCCAATCTGACATACTAACAGGGAAACAATATACGTCTGTCTAATGCCAATCTGACATACTAACAACGGAACCACAGGGTGTAACAATATACGCCCGTCTAATGCCAATCTGATATCCTAACAGGGTACCACAGGGTGTAACAGTATACGCCCGTCTAATGCCAATCTGACATACTAACAGGGAAACAATATACGTCTATCTAATGCCAATCTGATATACTAGCAGGGTACCACAGGGTGTAACAATCTACGCCCGTCTAATGCCAATCTGATATGCTAACAGGGTACCACAGGGTGTAACAGTATACGCCCGTCTAATGCCAATCTGACATACTAACAACGGTACCACAGGGGGTAACAATATACGTCTGTCTAATGCCAATCTGATATACTAACAGGGTAACAATAAACGCCCGTCTAATGCCAATCTGATATACTAACAGGGTACCACAGGGTGTAACAATATACGCCCGTCTAATGCCAATCTGACATACTAACAGGGTAACAATGTACGTCTGTCTAATGCCAATCTGACATACTAACAGGGTAACAATATACGTCTGTCTAATGCCAATCTGA